ACCGGGTGAGCGAACCACATTATTCCGGGTATGACCTGACGTATCATGCCAATCCGGTATTGTCCAGTGATGCGTTTGCAATCCATCTCCGCTAAAAAAGTCAACGATTTTTCCGATTCGGGATCATCCATTAAATCTGTTCTTCATGATCGTAGATGTTCACCGTGAGAATAAGCTAAAATTTTCTCAGTGGGTCAGTTAATATACGTAATGTTTGGGCATTTAATGTTGAACATCAATGTCATTTCGTAGCCGGTTATCTTTAAACCTTGGCCCACTCCGGCTGTCTACCGAGATATAATTCGATAAACAACCAAAGGTCAACGACGTGTGCCTTAAGTTACTTCTCACGCAAACCTGACTAAAAAAAGAAAAATTGCCTAAAATTACGACAACACATATGTGCCCACTGTATTAAGAAAAAATCACAATTTCTTTAGTTTGAGCAGATTTTTTATATTTCTCTAGTGTTTTACACATAAATAGCCCCGCTAAGTAACGCAGATGGAATGGATGGTTATTTTACATCCTTGTTGTACAGTCTCTTATTTATGGCGTTTTTGCTTGATAGAAATTTTATACACTTTCCGTTTGCAGAAGGCATACCGGAAACAGGGTAAGTTTTCTCGACAAGTACCGAAGCTAACAGCGCGTCGTCGTCTTCTACAGAGTCCCTAAAAAGTCATCTATAAATTTATTTATAGATTTATAAAATCATAAATCATTTTGAAATAAAACTGTGTTCGCTCTAGATTTTATCAAGCAATTAGCTAAAAGGCCGCCAACTCGTCGAATTTGCTCACACAACGATGGTGGTACCTTATACATATTTGGGCACTAAGGTTTGAATTTACCCAACAGCCCATGGCTGTTTATTTATGATCGGCTGATGGGACCCACCACGTAGGGCCTGTCTCCATGCCTTTCACCGTCTCATCGCAAATTCGATTTGCTCACATCCGCGCTGCACTGGTTAAAATTGCATTGCCCGCTGGTTCACACTCAATGGTTACCGGTCCGAAACCACCATTAGTGTATTATCGCTCTTGCCTTCAAATAACGCCTCTGAAGTTACTTGTTACTTACTTCGACCCTCTGAAATCAAACCCAGATAACGTAATTAGCACTCGCGATCAACCCAAAATCTTCTGTACTTAATCAGCCGATCGGAATATCTGGAATGAGCGACAAGACGGATAGCCTTCCGAGTGGCGTCTTTTTCGTTAATGTTTCTTATCGTTTTTATTTCAGTCGAATCTCTCATTTATGCGTTACCTAGTCGGCTATTTAGAGTCATTGGCGGTGGTTCACGATACCACCGTTTCATCATACAGCTCCGTTAGAGTCCATTTATTATTCGCACTACTTAGCTTTACGGTGCTAGTTATGTTTAGGACAAAATAGTGCGATGGCGCGTATCACTGTCAACGCTTATCATCGTCGTCGTCATAGTGAACGATCGAAGTCGGCCATCGCGAACCACGTAGGTCTAAGCCTGTTCTTTTTCCGGTGGGATTGGGTTGTTCCATTTGGCAATTGATTTGAAGTCATCCACGCGGTCATCAGCGATTCGCCAACGCTTGTGTCCTGGTATCTCCTGATTGCCATCGATATTGCTAGTCGTCTACAGATCTTTAGCAGCGACGGCAACGCCACTGTACGGACGCGTTGCCCAAACTATTGACGAGGATGTGGACGACGCGATTGAGGGTTTCATAGTAGTGGTATAGCGGTGTTTCGTTAGTCGGCGTTGTTTGTTGCGATTTCGAGCGCGTTAACGAGTCGCGTTTTCTTTTTGTTTCTTCGTTTGGTCGACTGCCGGCGCCTGCGCCGCCTGTACGGCCCTAGGAAATATCGTGAATCGTTATTGTCGGACATGAAGCTGGTAATAACGATGGCGGAGACCTCGACAACAGCGAAGCCGACGTTTTCCTTGATGCTAGCTTCTCTCACTGAGATGATATCTGTTGTTTAGTAACTGTTTAGACGATTTTCCCTTGTCAGCCAATCAGTTGGCTGGTTGATGGATACATATATGAGCAAAGACATACGGACGGACCAGCAAACCACCCTACGATTTGACGCGCCGAAGCAAAGTTATATGATTTATATTGTGGGATCGTCTGGTGGCCATTTAGTTGCCAGGCACCACGCGACTGCGTGCCCTCGTTACCCGTCGCGGTAATACTAACCCATCTGTCTACCTCCTTGTGTACAAACACAATGTACAATCGATTGAGAACCGTGAATAGACTCATTGGCGGCAGTAGTCCCATCGGCAGCGAAAGCAGCAAATCGCCAATACCAGAAATCGCCGCAGTCGGGAGTTCTCGCAGGGCGCGTAACTCCGCGGCCTGTCTATGTGGCCTCGCGTACTCGAGTCGCTCAGAAGCTCACAGCGACGGCAAAAAATAATGCCTCAACGACGGCCACAGCAGCATCAGAAGCAATACAAGAAACCACATGAAGACAGATTCAGCAGAATTGAAGTGGCGTCGAAATAGTGGCGGAACGCGGCTGTAATGCTACGTTGGCGTCAGAACAACGACGTCCGCGTACAGATATGCCATTGCTCAGTCTGGATGCCGCCGTGGCAAAATGCCGCTATGATAACCGATGTTGTCGGCTCAGTAACTGTTGTTCTCGTCGCCGCACACGCCGCTAACGTCCTACGAAAAGCAAGGAGCATAAGTTGGAGCTGCTAGCTGACGTCGTAGCGTCGGCGTCTGCGACAGCGGGGCCGCCCCTGCGGTCGGCTTTGCTTAAGTTGGTGCCGCTGATGCCAACCAGCAGCTCCTGCTGGTTCTATTGCAGAAGCCTATTGACGGAAAGACGAGTGCAGAGGGGCATTTCTCACTGACACAGCCGCCACAGTTGTTGCTGCTGCTATTGGTTCTAGAGGGATTGATTGCCTCTGAACAATTTGTATTGGCTATTCCGCTCCGTTGTTTGGTAATGCCGATTCGACAATAGTGAGGCAACACCGCAGACGCATCGCTGTGGCTGTTGAAGTTTCAGGCGCCACGCTGACGGCGAACTTTATCTCGAGCGCGTTCCTAGTTACCTCACCTTGGCGTCAATGGCACCAAAGCATTTCATGGACTCAGCATTTCTCTCCCGGCGGTTCAGTCAGCCGCTGCTGCCACTCACGAATGACGCCGCCGATGAAGTCCAATGTTGGTATGTATAATATAAATGATCAAGGTGTACTCATCGTCGGTTTACCTAGAGCCGATACGCAGTTAGTTATCCATGAGTAGCCTCATTCTCCATAGCGATGTGATGTTGTGTAGATAGTGAACCTGTCTGTCTAGCAGCGGCACAAACATCATGTCCTGTTATGTTATTAGTCGCTTGTTGTTGTTCTTTCTATTATTTCACTTGACTCTTGGCGTTAGCAGCCTCAGACATCACTTTAGCGGTGCTGTCTTTACCGCCCGTACACGGCGCACTGCTACGGGGTGGCATTCCCGCCGGCGCCGAGTCTGGCCTCCTTTGGGTTTGCCTGACGTCTGGTTCTCCTCGTTGGACCCCCGCTGGCTTTTGGCAGCCCCCAGAAGCGCTGGCTTACTCAGTCGCCTGGCATACCCGTGCTCGTATACCGAATAAAGCTGGAAATCCTGCAATCAACTGCGGTCGACGTGCCATCTTACCCCACTTTGATCATGTGTGTCTGTCAATGTGGACATGTCTGTATAGAATATATTTTCGTGCATGTATGTGTGTATTTGGCTGTGCGCCCGTCTCTTTGTATCATATGCCCTACCTAGTTGCCTTACGGTGCATTCGTTGTCGGTTGGACCCTTGTGCAGGGAAAGAACCCAGCAGTGCTGAGCGGCCCAACTGACAACGGCTCTTTGGCGCCACCGATAAAGACCTGGTGACGGCCTGGCGTGAAGCGCTCGCTCCATCCTGAACTTGCTTCTTTAGCAGCGCTTCCATGATGTCGCGGTTAATGTTTCTGTCGGGGCTATGCTAACGTAAAGAAGATGAAGCGAAAACAGGGGTTCGTGCTACAGTGAAAGCTCGGCCCGCCGATTAGCTGCAGGAGTTCAGCCGCGTATGCAGTACTTTGGCGTCGTCTTTATCGACGCCGTCGTACACTCAAACAGATCGGCCATTTTGACGGTTCGACTATGCTGCAGCAATAGCGCGTTTTGCCGTTACAGCAAGCTGCGACTGCTACCGCCATATTCAGCTACTTAGCCAACCAGCGTCAAGCTAGCAGTTCGCTGCAGAATCATTTTTACCCGACACTGACAATGACAGCGATCGAAGTAGTACTTGAACGTAACGGCACTAGCGGTCCACTACTTTCCTCTTTGTCTGGAGTTGCTCTATTTAATTCGCCCTGGTCGACAACTTTGAACGTTCTATTACAGCCACTGCACCGCCCCGAACGCGACTATCACCCAACGCTCCAGCGGCCTGCCGCGCATATTCTCCGCGCATACTCCCCCTTTCTCTTGCTTTTTCTGCTCATAGCCAGCCAAAGAACAAACATGTTGAGAACTGAGCTCACGGCTGTAGCAGCTGACGGCGGGGATAAGCCTGCAGCTTTCGGAGTCCCATTGCTATAGTCTTTCCTAGCGGCTGCTTACAGCCTCACTCAGCTCCCTTTGGCGGCACGACAGTGAGAGAGCCACGAATGCGTCGCCGCGGCCGAACCGAGCTCGATGGAAGTCGCTGGTCGCGACATGAAACAACGAACGATACAGCATCCACAATGATGGGGTGCAGGCAGCTATCACCGAGTAGCTTCTGTTAGAGCGGGTGGCTGAAAGACAGCGGCAGCGGTGCATTATCGCGGCGCCGACCGGAACGACGTGGGCTGGACCCACCCGGCAGCCGACTGCGAGAGTTTTGCGGGGCGGAGCCATCGCTCGCCGAGGAGGGAAAGGGCGGTTATTGAACACTGCGCAGCGAACAGGAGCGACACAGCGACAGGACCCCACACACGGCTGTAGCTCCCGCGCACACATTTCTCCACTTCTCGACACGAGAGGACTTGCGGCAGCCAACGGCAGCAGCAGCAACAACAACAGCAGCAGCCGCAGCAGAAGCTGTTTGAGCGCTTTGAGAGGCGTGAGATTTTCTGCAGTAGAGACTCGGAGCGACAAAGCACCGGGGCAGCGACGAAAACGAAAACGACGACGAACGACACCAGTCGAGACGAGAGAGAAGGGAGCGACAGAAGTGGCAGAAGTCGCAGCAGCAGCGGCAGCAGAAGTTGCGGCGGCGACGGCGGCGGCGGCGGCAGCAGACAGAAAGAATAGCGAGCGCCACCTTTTTTCTGACGACACCAGCGAAGAAGGTGCAAGAGCCGCCACTCCGATCGTCAGTGTACGTACGTCGTGCGCGGAGAAGACAACAGCAACAGCAGGCACAGTAGCAGGACGAGGGAGAGAAGCACCTATAAGCCAAAAAATAGTGCCAGTAACCGTTGAAACTGAGCGGAAAAGAGAAAAACGTCCAGCCAGTGATTACGACCACTGACGCCAGCAGAATCCTCTTCGAGCCTTAAAAACGTAAAGGTGTCAAAGAGAGCCAGAGGGCAATCGTTAGCGAATTGGACAAGTGCGAATGCTGTGAGAATTAAGTCCATTTGGCAACAAGAGAATTGCCCTCACAACAATAACTGCTAGCAATATTGGTGCAATTTCTGGCAGTCTAGTTTACTGAAACGTACTAAATACGAAATGGCACGGAAGAGCTGGCAGTCGATCCTATATTACTAACTAGTTGATGCCAGCTATCGTGAAGCGTTCGAGCGATCTTCCCTCAGGACGTGTTGGTCTTGATTAATGATCGATGCTACAAGCAGCTCTGTAACAGCTAAGCCTGCTGTTGCTGCTGCTGCTGCGCAAATAGGTTTGCGAATTTTGTGCCAACGACGTTAACTGTTAGTTCGCATTTGTTGCATCCATGTGTTTCCCCCCCCCAAGTGCGCGAGTAGAAGGCCTTATGTAGTGTGAGAAACCCATATATTCGGGGTACTGAGAGGCATCCGCTCATCTACGATTACGTTACCCAACGTAGATCCTCGATACTATCCACCGCCGTTCGCCCCCCCCCCCCCCTCCCCCTCCCTCTCCCCCTGCCCTCTAACGTATCCATTAAAGTGAAGACGTGATTAGGCTGAGCGGATCGGGTGCAGGCAAATAACAAATCGAGATTAGGAAGCTTCGGTTTTGCTAAGTTGTTGTGAAGTTACGTCCTATGATTTGTAGGGAAGTGAAAATGCGGGCTGAGGACGGTACCGATAAAAAGGACACGGAGACTGCGGCTCCGCGTAGAACATCAGATTTTAGCATGATGTCGATTCTGGCCGACATTCAGGACAAAGACGAGCCAAAGGTGGTGCTGGAGAGTCAGGAACTGTGGGAAAATTTCCACAACCTCGGGACGGAAATGATCATCACGAAATCAGGAAGGTGAGTGGGAAGATCAGCTGATCAGACAATTGCTCAACAGACAATTATGCATGATAAAATGAATTTGGTTCTGATCAAAAAACGTACGTATAAGAAAGTGGCTTCGGAAGCTTTTAAAACGCTTTGAATTAAGTGGCTGAAGAAATACGACGAGCTAGTAGTTACGGTGATTGGTCCAATGCAGGAAATTTCCTCAACGTATTCATGGTTACCCACCGATATCAGTGGTCGAAATCTTCCGCTACAAATGGGACAAGAGATCACTTTCACTACACACTACAGCCAGTGTACAATACCCTAGTCGATCGATATTTAATCGCCTTAATTATAAAAGAAAAGAGTCGTTGATTATAATATGCACCTGTAAAATTGTGTCCTCACTGATGTCCGATACAAAATACTTCTACTTCACTGCGCATAACATATGAGTATTATATTCGACTACAGATGTAAGATTGCTGCCGCTATTAGTAACATTTCACCTAAACAAAGTGATGCTTTCATGATGGCCATTGTGTCGATCTGCGGTGTTTGTACACTCTCTAGGGTCTTGTAAGCGAAAATTCGTCAGATCCTAAATCACTAAACATTGTTTTCGAACAATATATACCCCTAGTCGTCTATTTCTTATTGTTTATTTAGATAATGGAAGGCTTTCAATTACTGCTAACTACACACACTGACCCTATCGAAGTTAGGCCAGTACAAATCTTCAGTTTGTATGCATTCCAATCATGGTCCCGTGGCCAACGTAGCCGTCACCATTTAAGAAGAAAAGGTGTTAACGGTAGATAGGGCTGCGTATCGACGATGAAGCCACTCACGTATAGCACCGACATGCATAGACGCTTGCGCCGTACTCCTAGTAGTTGCTGTCCTTGTTTTCACATGCTTGTATCTGACGGCTACGACAAGCTGATGTCCTTATCTGATGACGTCTGTAACAAGCGATGTAAAGTATCCGTTGACTTAGCTAGTGTGTTTCGAGACTTTTCGCTTCTTGTTATTACGCCTCCTACATACTGAACACGTCTGCCTCGATGTCTGCTGCGGGTAACTGTGTCTTCACCCCTAGTAATAAAATAGTCAGGAGCTCCCAACGTTCATGAAACCCCTCCGCTCCTCGTTTCTGCTATCTGTTAAAAACACTCAGGGATATGCTAGTTTTTCACCAGGCAGCAATGATTTTTACCAGTGACAGGCAATTTTGTGTTCGCTAAAGCGATCAAATGCTCTTAGCAAGCTCTGACTGTGTCCTGAGCGAGGCTTCATTAGTGAGCCGCGCTTCGCACCTCTACGAGTCTTCATTGATCAATCCGCGATTCCGTCGTGGTGGTTGGAAGCTAATCGGCTGAATTCTATCACGATTGTTTCGAGACAAGGCGGGAAAGCAACAACAACAACAACAACAGCAACAACAAAGCTCAGACATGCACACGTCGCGCCAATGGTCCGCTTCATTCTATGGACGAGATACTCTTATGGAACAACGACGGACTTACCGCGTATGGGAGATCTTTATCACCATAGTGGCGACCTGGTTCGTAAAAGTTTGCAGCAGTTAATGTACGAGATGTACATGTGTGGTTTCGTTAACCATCATCTTCTGATATACCTATTCCCTACGGATTGGTCCTGACCAAGTGATCTATCTTCCCCGTGTTGTTTTCTGATATCGGCAGTAAGCCATACGTATTGAAACGGATCGGTCGGTTATCGTTTTATGCTCCACTAGTCATAGAACAGGCAATTAAAATCGACTTAACGGATTGGAAAGGACACATCCTTGGCTAGTTTTCCCTGAGGTACTTTCCGTTGATTCTTCCAACCCCAAATCAAGTGAAACCTATGCTAACTTGCCGCCTTTTAGTGCCTCTCTGTCCTTCAAAGAAGATGGTGTCACACATTATTGCTGCAGAATTATGCCACCATATATGATATCTCGCGCATCCACGTTGACACCCACGTCAATTTTTCTCTTATATCATAAATTGCTACATTTGAATAGACGAGAACTGTCTAGGCATCCTGACGACCTCGTTTCGTTCTGCTACAAATACGCATCGTCTTTAAGCATGTGTAAATCGCTAGCTATTTCGAGTGTCAGAGTAGACTGCCGTGTCAGCAGGCTGCCTTCAGTATCGCTGACACTACTTCATCTCGTACCGCCGATATAGCTTGACTCGCAGGCACCTTCAGCACTATAGGCTTTTCTCTACTTCGTGAAGTAGATGAGGCGTTGAAAAAATCAACAGCAACAAAGGCAAGCCACAAATTTCAATCACACACGCAGACAAATACCAATTGACTCGTCGTCAACGAACGTTAAGGCTCCGACGTGTCGATAAAAGCCGTCGCCACCAAATCGATAGCCCCCCAGTCCGAAAAAAAGAGAAAGTCGATAGAGTCGATCGAGCCTCAGCGCGAAGGGTCGGGTCAACCGTCATGAACTGGCAGGTTCCATAATATCCATTTATCTGTCTCGTCCCCTGATTTGTCTACGATTTCAGCGTTACGTGTGTGTATATATATATCCATAGGTGTACAAACACATCGAATAGTAGTTACATAGGTGCGATGTGAGTTCGTGTTTGTCTTAGCTGAGTATTAGTAAATTGCTGATGATACTATGGGCAGCTAACTCAACATACTGCTAACGCTTCGTCCCCAGACCCTTTTTTTTCTAATTCTTCGACGTTGTTCGTTCGATCTCGGCTCAGCACATGAACGAAGAACACGAGCGACGGTGGGACGCAACCGAGATGGCTCCGGAGCGACTGGCCGGCGCCGCCAACGACGGGTTCCGTCGCCAAGTTGGCGACGGCGTCGCTGCCCCGGGCAGGCTCCAAACAGACGAGAAATTCACCTAGGAGCGGTTGCTGTTGGACGAAACTACAGCAGCATCGAAGATCGCCTGGCTCAAACGCCAATGACGAACTTCGCTCTGCTTTACCGTACACGCTGGCGATGCCGGCGCACAAACGCCGAACAACAAGCGTAGTGAATTTGGCGCCGCAATGTAGGAAAATGCCAACTGGCAAACCTGCAGGACACAGGCACATAGCGGCATTAAGAAATTTGATTGGTATTAGTGTTTTTGTTATAACGCGATACAACGGAACGATACTGAGACGAGAAATCGTCTCGAGGTCTTATATCCATGCAGACTAGAAAACGCTTAATCTGCGATAAATGCTACCTGTTACGCCATCAGCGACTAATAACATTAAGAGCTGTGCGGACACCGGCTGTATGAGTAGCAAATAACGATTAATATCAAATTGTCTTGCATCTGTCGGGGGCATTGAAACGAGGAAAGTTCTGTCGAAGGTGTTTTTTACTTCACGTTTTGTTCGATTAAGTACCATACAGCACTGCTTTCTTTTCGAGATTATACACTAAGAAGCTAGCTAGATGTAGTTTAGCAGTAATCATTCCGTTCGTCCCCCCACTCCCAGGCCCCGTCGACGGTCACCCGACGCGATGGCCTCGTATTCTACGTTTTCCACTTACATCAATGGCCCTTCAAAGCCATTCTCCATACTCCATCCGTACGCTCCTTTCCCGCGAGCTCTAGTAACAGAGACAATACACCCATCTCGTAGCAACAATCACCACCACCATCATCATCGTTAACCTGATATGTTGTTGTTGTTGTTGTTGTTGTTGTTATTGCTATCATGTTCACCGTATGTTTCTCTGTTGCTATTCGTCCTCCCCGTCGCTGCCGTGATGCGCGCCGACGGTAATTAACGTTCTGCTTGCTGACTGACAGGGTCTGCGACTGCTAAGGCTGCCTGCCCTTGTTGTAGTCTACTTGTCGTCGTCGATGATGGTGGCGTTGCAGCTGCTACTTTGCTACATTTATCTCAGGCGTTATCGTTGTTCAAACATCTGCCCGTCGTCTTGCCTTCATATTCACTCAACTTCATAGTTCATCTTCGTTCGACTACGACACGCATTTAAAGCAGTACTGATGCTTGATCACAGTGAATAGATACGCATGTATGCGGCGCTTCTTTATCCGGTTCATACGTATCTCTGTGAATCTTTGTAAGTGTGTACACGTTACGTTGAAGCATGAGTGGGAGCGTGGCCGGTCGCTATTTTAGCCTCCAGTTGGTGGTAATGATATAGTTGTTGAGGCAACGGCAGCTGCTGCTGTTACCGCGACACGACCACTGTCGATCCGGAGGCCTCGCTTCTGGTCCACCGACTTCAATACCGTCATCCAGAGCGCATTGCGTTACACAAGAACTTTTCAGCTACCATACTTCGAAAAGGTGCTGGCCATTTGGACATGCTTCTACGAATATTAACGATAGTAATAAGCTTAGCGCAGAAACTATTGTTTACTGTGCATGTGGCTTGCGGAGCGGTACGGCAAAACGCGGCAGGCAAGGCCGTCCCTTTGTTTAAGGTTAAATCTCGTAGTTTCGTTTGAGCAAACAGCTTCCTTAATTCTCCTTTGTTTGTCCTGTAGCACGATTTGCAAAAAAGGCATTCGAAATCAGGCTGATGTGTGTTGCCTTTCTATGCCAAGCTTCACTGACAAGCACCTTTCGAGTAGTTTTCCTTTACATCGAATCGTTTCAACTATCGCTAACTGTCGTAGCGGGGACAGATGGTCGATTATCCACAGAAAATCTGATAAATATCGAAACGTTTTACACAATAGCTATGTCAGACAACTGAACACAGCGGAGTAGCGCATTGGGATCTAATAAGAGTCAAATGAAGAATGACCCACCTACCAAGAAGCCATATCCATGATATCAATTTTTCTATCAGCTATAATATCTACATGGGTAGACAATTCCTGGAGGCGAGAAGTATAACAGTGCGGCCAATAGATAGGAATTGTGACCTTTAATAGTACCGCGTACGCAAATTATTAATGATCGAATGCTAAAAATCCGATCGAAAAAAAAAAAAAAAAGGTTGGAAAAAAGAAACATTAAGGCTGAAAATCTATCCTGCGGCCTTTAATACTAATGCTC